TACAAAACAGATGCGCACAACTCAGAAGGTTTCTGTGTGGCCAGTTGGTCTTGTTGGAGGAAGACGTTATGAACGGCCAGTTGTAGAAAATGGGAAGGTTGTGGGCTGGTACACTGGATGGAGAGCAGACAGACCATTTGCCATTGACATGGCTGGTAAGGAGTGAACAGAACATATTAAACAACGTTATTAAAAATGTATTAAAGAAGAACTGCATGTTACCTATTTCAACAATGTTTTTATTTTCATACTTCCAGCTGCAATATATTCAGAAGCATATTAGAGAGATTATGAATAATGCATTTTCTTCATTTGAGATGCTTACACTTACAAAGAAATCACTTAAAATGAGTAATGGGAGGTTGCTCTTTTTTTAAAAAATATAATTATATGATTCTTCATCATTTATATTTAAATATCAAAATTAATTTGAGACACATATCTGTGTCTTCACTATGAATTTTTACCAAGTAGAAAAATGCAAAATATGGAATGCCATCATTGAAGTCAATGGTGGCTTTAAACCTTAGCTTTGTGCTTTAAATGTAAGCGTCATATTTGATGAAAGTGTTACTTCATTCAAGCAGCTAAATATCCAATTTTATATGTCAATAGGGAACTAGGATTTGTAATTATGTCCAAACAATCTTATCATCCCAGCACACCTTTTCAGGTGACATTGTCAGATTATAGAGCTCCACTGGAGGGGCAACACAGCTTGGTTAAGAACTCCCCCCAGTCTGCTGTTTGGACCACGTTACCCCTTCTTGTCAGAACACGTGCATGTTTCAGAATCTGACTGACTCCTTCTCTTTCCCAGTCTAAGCCTTGCTTGTGCAAGGATTACAGGGTGCAGATCAAGTATGCTTTTAAACCTGTCATATCTTTTACTCTATGTATGCAATCTTTGTTTTGCAAAAAAAATTCATAAATAACAAAGGATCTGCAGAGGGTTATATAAGAAGACAACAAAGCAACATCTGCCTGTCTCGAAGCTTGCTTTACGTGATTGAAGCCTCGGTGGAGCTGTCTGAACGCTCATTCCTTTGACTCCTTGACTTGTGTTTGCAAATTTCAGCTAGAGTTACTGAGCTCTGTAAGTAATGTTTTTTTACAGCAGGTTATAAGGATGAGTGGAGTGATTTTGGCAAAATAAATTTTGCAGCAAAATGAATGATTTTACCATGGAAGAAATTTCATCATAGCAGAAACTCTGAATGTTGCTATAACTACTACTAGGATCTGTTTTATTTTGATAGTTGACTTTTTTTGCAGTGTATTTAGGGTAACCTAGATTTTTTTTCACTTAGGGTTCTTTGTATTTGTGATAGTTTTCCTTTTTGTGTATTTGAATGTTATTCATTCACTTTAAAATGGTAGCTTGGTTTAAATATTTAATTACTGGTTTAATGATTTTTATTTTATTTTTGTATACCAATATTTTCACCATTTCCTGAATGCTGGGATATGGCTGGTTTCATCCTATATATTTTTAATTTATTCATTCACTATCCCTTTTTTTTTTTATTCTACTTTTTATTTTTTTGGGAAACACAATGTAAATAATGAGGTTATTGAAGGAAAACAAAATGGCTCAACAACTAGTCAATGATAGTGCCATCTTTAAACATCCTGCATGTGCCCTGGCAGAGGACTGGAGCATGACTGAGCAGGCGCAGGGCATTCCCAATCATGCACACAGATTCCACTGGGTTCTGATATCTGGGACCTTTCTGAGACGCATAGCATCTATATGCATGTGTGGGAACCCCCTGTAGGTTTCTGCTACATGGCAGAGACCTCTTTGTGCACATGCAAAATCTTGAGGTGTTTCTTCCTCCTGGGATGTGATGAGGCTATCATTCTTAATTAGACAAGGAATTAGCAGTGCACTGCAACATAAAAAAAAATTACAATTCTGTTAAAAATATAAATAATTTTCCAATTCTGTAGGGGGAAGGGGGAGAAAACAGACTGTTATATTGGGTGAAGGCATGCTTTAGTTTTACTTTCCACATAATACATTTTGCCAAAATGACAAGATTTCACCAAAATCTCTCACTTTTTATTGAAAGGTATTGGGAAATGAGAACTCTCAATTTTACTAACCCCAAGCAGTAAAACGACAGAGGAAACTGTAAAAAGACACCCGATATGCCACCTGTTGATTGGATATAAGACTAACATGGCAATGATAGGAGCTAGGACAAACGCTAGCACTGCCAGAATTACACTGTCAAAATGGTAATTACTTTTCAATGGTATGACTATAGCATACAACCAATATATACTCTAGCATACAACGACTGTAACCAAGGATAAGTATTAGTGATAATAATCTAAACATTTATTAATGTTACTCTTGAATATAATATTCAATATGTGTTGTTGAAAGGAAGAATGTATTTAAAATATTAAATGGATTCACCGAAATGTTCTATGCACTCAAGACCAATAATACATACATAGATGAAATCTAGGAAACTATTATTATTCTATTACTGTCTTATTTATGTGTGAGTCAGTGTTTGTGTAATGTGTGGGCGCTCCTGTACCTGATGTAAAGCATTAATATAAACAGCATGCTTATTTTCATGATAAGAATGAATACTACAAAGAATGGAGTTGTACTCTACACCCATCAACCACGTTTGCTTTGTAGTGAATAAGTCGGAGAAAAGTAAAGTGACTCTTTTGTTATCTTGGCAACATGCAGTGGAAAGGAAAATGCAGACTATGACATTTTTAGAAGTGAGAAAAGTTGACCTGTTGTATAAGTCAGTCTCAGCTCTCAGGTGGGTTTATTAACTAAATAGCATGTATCTTTAGAAATCCAACATGCCAGCTGGGAATTGGCTATATGCCTCTGGATGTTCATTCAAAAGGTGAACCATGACCCTACAGAATCTCATTATTGGCATGCCTTACAAATAACACATGCAAATACCTCAAACAATATAATAAAACAGGTAAGCACTGAAGCCTTTTCTAGCTGGTAAATATGCCAGAGAGATGAAGGCATGAATTCTGGAATTAGGATCACAAACGGTCCTCATAGGACGTTGAACATGTCTGCTATGGCTATACCTCTGTTGGATTAAAACTATATGGTAGTAATATATTACTGAATTAGATTAGCTTTATATATACACATATATATATATATATATATATATATATATATATATATATATATATATATACAATAGATTATGCTAGACACAACCAAGTGTAACTGTCTGTATCCAGCAAAATGTTTCAGATAACTATCTCAGTAGTAAGTGAGAGGTATTTTGTTCTGAGGCCTGCAAAAAAATATACAATAATTAGTGCTCCTCATGACCTCTAGTTAAGGAGTAGAGGGAGGGAATGGATGGTATCGGGGCAGTGGAGAGCTTAACGTCTGATGTGATCGGTAAATGAAATATACAGGGGGCAATAAGGGAAGAGAAGAGTGGTGGGGTACAAGGGCGATGGGGATAGGAAAGTAGGAGAAAGAGAGCAGGAGAGTAAAAAGAAAATTAAGAGAAGAGAGAGTGAGAGAAGAGACAAAAGGAGGGGGGCCATTTTTTACAAAAGTCATGCGACGTTATTTTAACTACTCAAAATAAATGGTCTGCTTTTACAAAGACCTCTCGATCATCTGCTTTGCTGTAGAAAAATCGTGGATAAAAAGGTGGATTTTTGTACACTCCACCATTCTTTAACTCAGTAGGGCTTTTACAGGGTTCTTTAGGATGTATCTATTCAGAAGAGTATAGATTAATTGGTAGGTATGTGACCACAACCATCTGAAATGCTTAGGGGAGGGGAGAGGTAGCCAGGGATGGCATGTGAAGAGTCTAGAAGGGACCAAATACCATCTCATTAGTATTTTGTAATTGTGTTTGGTGCCCAGAATATAGATTGAGTATTTTGTGGTGTTTAGCTAAACATCCTGCCAATCCTTTTGGGAGATGATTATCTCCATTTGTCTTTCCAAGTTAATAATATGAGGATTTTCAATATTTTTAAGTAAAGATGTAATGTTTTCTTTTCACGTATTGGATATTTCCTGTCACAGGGATGGTGTAAGTCCTTAATTGATTCTATGGATACAAAACCTGAGGGTCGGAGGTGATCATATATTGGCATGTCACCATTGAACAAAGCTCCTGAGAGAATCCTAGATAGGGGTGAATAAGGGGTTTCCTAAAAAGGTAGAAAGGGGTAGGCTGGACCTGGAATCAGGTCACCTAGTCATAGGGTCTAGTCCACTAGACACCTGGTGTCAATCAAGGTTGGCCCCTCATGGTCGCTTGTACCCAATGGCACCCTCTGTTCATCAGTGATACAGAGAGGTATATGGGACTGGCTCCAATGATATTTGGGGTTTCCTGTGGAGTGTGTTTTAGAGCAAGCTATTAGAACAGGTGGGGAATACTATCAGGGGGTAGGGAGGAGTCAGTGAGTGTCATTCCTCAGCTCCCTCTGTCGCTGTGATTTCTGGGGGGGTTGGTGATGGTGGTGTGTGGGTTAGGGGAGGGGAGCATGGTGTGGAGGGGTGGAGAGGGTGTTGTGACCTTGCATCAGGGCGGATTGGTCACCTCCTTTGTACACCATCTTTGGGAGTGCCCTTTTGGGGAGCTCCTGTTTTGGGGGAGCAATATGGTCAGGATTGGTACCTTTGTCTCCGATGCATTGTGTTTTTATATTTTTTATTACATAATTGACATATAATAATCATTGGTTTGAGGGAAACCTTATAGGTGTGTAGCCTATTTTCTTTTTCTTTTGTTTTTATTCCTTTTAAACACAGCACAACAATTTACAGATGTTATGGCCAGTGGGCTGCAACATACACTGGACTGTAAGAGACTATTATTTAACCGCCTCCTGCCTGCCATATAAGGAAATGACGAGCGCAAGGCAGTTCTCTCATTCTGGGAGGACATCATATGACGTCCTTCCACTCTAACCGCGTGTGCACACCCCCGGGAGCGCGCAGACTGGCGATTGGTAAGATCAGAAAGAGCCGAAGACGTCGGCTCTGTCATGTGATCATCTGTGTCCAAGCATAGCTGATCACATGTAAATATGCCGGTTATCTGCATTTCTCTCCTCACGAGCTGTCACGCTGACAGCTCAATAGGAGAAGAGAACCGGTAAGCAGCATTACTCAGAGGGTACATGTACACTGATCATCAGGGCACTGATGATCAGTGTGCCCTGATTATCAGTGTAGCCCCATCAGTGCCATCTGTCAGTGTCCATCAATGCCACCTGCCAGTGCCCATCAGTGTCACATCATCAATGCCACATATCAGTGCCTACCAGTGCACATCAATGCCACATATCAGTGCCCATCTAAGCTGCCTTTCAGTGTCACCCATCAGTGCCAGTCAGTGCCGCCTATCAGTGCCCATCAGTGCCGCCTATCAGTGCCGCCTAACAGTGCCATATATGAGTGCTGCCTTTCACTGCCCATCAGTGATGCCTGTCAATGCCACCTACCAGTGCCTCCTCATCAGTGCCCATCAGTGCCGCCTATCAGTGGCCATCACTGCAGCCTCATTAGCGCACATCAGTAAAGGAGAAAAATCACTTATTTACAAAATGTTATAACAGAAACTAAGAAAAAACATTTTGAAAATTGGCCTGGGCAGGAAGGGGGTATAAGTGCCCTGTAGGCAAGTGGTTAATAAGTCAAAAATATGTTTTTTTTTTCTCAAAATTATTGGTTTTTTTTTTAGAGCACAAAAAATAAAAAACGCACAGGCAATCAAATACCACCAAAAGAAAGCTCTAATTGTGGGGAAAAGGCCATAAATTACATCTGAGTGCATGACCGTGCAATTGTCAGTTAAAGTAACGCAGTGCTGTAATGCAAAAAATGGCCTGGTCATTAAGGGGGGTAAACCTTCAAGAGGGCAAGTGGTTAGGGATGCCCTCGGAGAAGGAGACAACCACGTTGTAGCCATCTTTCGGCAATAGTGCAGCATTAAAATGGTTAAAAAATGGTCATTCTTCACAGTCTTGGCAGTTCAAACACCCTCAAGACATTGCTTAGTGCCTGGGCAACCAAATTGCTGTTATTAGTTTATAAAAAACGATTCCTGCCAAACATTGGTTACCATAAAATATAAAATGATCACATAAAGATGCCATAGTTCAGTACTCACCATTAGATTTTTGTATTGTGAAGCCAGCCTTCAGCTCATGCCTCCCACACTTCGGTGATTCCCCGGCAGAGGATGTCACCCTGGTTCCAGTCTGTTGGGTGCCTTATACACTGAGACTTTTTTGGCAGCTAAACAAAGGAACCTGCAGCTAGACATCCTGCGATATCAGCCAAACAGACAGATGCATTCATTCACAAGTAAGTCGCAGCGAGTACCTGCTGCTTAAAGGAGATCTATGCTCACAGAGTACATTTGCATTTTATAACATCAGTATTGTAATAACAACACAAAAATAGTTATATTTGATATTCCAATATAAGTTTACTTTAAAAAAATTACTTTCATGTTGTGGGTGCTGCCTGTTTACTGGCCAAATCTTTTCACAACTTCATGAACTCCCTGCATGCCTTGCAGCTTCTCCTCTGCTGTTTACTTTCCGTTTCTAAGGACTACATATCCCACGGTACCTTGCTATCTATCCACAGTGATTCTTGTACTGACTCCGCCCCCTTAACCCACTCTTCCCAGGTCCTTTGTAGTTCAGAAGGCAGGTTCTGTGAAATGTGTGACATAGTAGTGCCTACTCACAGGTTATAGTGAATATATGTCATAGAATTCAAGGAAGTAATGTGTGAGGATCTTTAACCGCTTCCCGACTGCCCTATAGCATACATACCTCTACAGGGCAGCAATTCATGCATATATAGGTGAATTTGCACGAGGCACGCCTGCACCCTACCCGCTCTGCCATTCGCAGCCGCTGCTGTTAATCACCGGTTCCCTGTCGGTGATTACTCACCAGCGCCCGGTGATTGCCGAGCATCTCCAATGGGGAGGAGAACTGTTTGTAAACTAAACAGTTCTCCTCCCTATCAGCTCCTGCACACTGCTTTGGATGGATGTGCACAACACAGCCATGCAAAGCAGTGTGCTTACAGTGAAGCACACAGACACAGCTTACAGTGAAACAGCACACAGTTAACCCTTTGATCGCCCCTCATGTTAATCCCTTCCTGCCCAGTGCCCTAAGTATAGTGTCAGTGCTTTTTATTAGCACCGATCACTGTATAGGTGTCACTGGGGATGTCAGCGACACCACGTCAGTTTCCCCCAGTGTCAGAATGCCTGCTGCAGTCCCGTTATAAGTCGCTGATCGCCGCCATTACTATAAAAAAATAAAATAAAAATTCACAGTATCTATACCGCCATTTGTAAACAATATAAGTTTCACATAAACCAATTCATTTACACATATTGGAAGTGCAAAAAATAAAAAATAAAAAACACACAGGCGATCAAATACCATCGAAAGAAAGCTCAATTTGTGGGGGAAAAAAAGGACATAAATTTAATTTGGGTGCAGCGTTGCATGACCGCGCAATTGTCAGTTAAAGCAACGCAGCGCTGTGACACAAAAAAATGGCCTGGTCAGGAAAGGGGGGTAAAGCCTCAGGAGGGCAAGTGGTTAAAGTAAGTTTACAAACATCAGGATTGTTCAGAGTAATAGGAGTAGGCTGAAAATAATTGATATACAATGTGGAAAGGCAGATATCTGTGTATGCTACATTCAGTGCGCCTCCATGTGCAATGCTTTCTACAAGTGCCTGTTTACAATCGTGCACTGACATTTGTCACATAAAGGAACATTTGGATTTTAATGAGTGTTTCTTAGACCACATTCTATTTGCCACCCCAGTCTTCTCTTCTGTTTTGCATATTAGATATTACATTGATATTGTCCAATAACTGTCCAAGGGTGACCATAAGTAATTGAGTTGAGCAGCAATAGATGAAATATAATGTACCTAGTAACCTTCGCCTGCAATCAGTCTGTGCCTTAGATGCTTGTGCATATTTTTGTTATTGTAATTGATGTTAAGATTCATACTATAGAAAAAGTAGATTAGCCACTACCATTACTTAATCTCCCCACCCAAAGTTTATGTAATCCTTAACAATTAACATATTTTAATTGGTCCCTTTTGGTTGGTTTCACATACAATTGAAAGTCTTTTGTTATATCAGTTTGATTTAAAAAAACAAAACTGTTTTTTTTACTGGAAATCTAATGAGTAGATAACTTCCTGTGCTCTTTGCCTGTCCTGTCTGTAATCAATTAAATTGTTATCTGAGAACTATAAATCCACACCCCTCCATAGCATAGAGCGGTGTTGCTCTGTAGTTATCTGTTTCTGTTGTCCTGATTCAAAAGGGTGAAGGAGTGTTGTCATCCAAGGACTGGAAGTGTGCGACTGGTATAATCATCAGGTGAAAATAAACGGGGGAAAAAAAAAAGCTTGAAAGTAGAAACTATTGCATTCAAGACTGAGCATATCACAAATAAAAAGTCCAAATTTGGTGCAAAAATGCCAGTACTCCAATATTGATATAGTGCTTCACTTGACAGTGATGTTGTGCCTCACATGGACTCACACTCACCCTATGCTGATGACCAACTATTGCTAGTGTGGTCAACAGTGCTTATTGGGCATACCCCTATACAGTCCTCTCTATTCAGTTGTCTAAGAAAGATGTAGCATGTAAGACAGAATTCTCTCAGGAGAAAAACAACAGGAAGGAGGATCCTATAGTGTAATATCATTAACCACTTGTCCTCCAGAAGATTTACCCACCTTCCTGACCAGGCCATTTTTTGCGTTACGGTGTTCCGTTATTTTAACTGACAATTGCGCGGTGATGCAACACTGCACCCAAATGAAATTTATGTCCTTTTTTCGCCCCACAAATAGAGCTTTATTTTGGTAGTAGTTGATTGCCTGTGTGTTTTTATTTTTTGCACTATAAAAAAAAAGGCCGACAATTTTGAGAAAAAAAACAATATTTTTGGCTTTTTGCTACTAAACATGTCCAGTAAAAAAAAAACCTAAATTTTACCATAAATTTAGGCCAAAATGTATTCTGCTACATGTCTTTGCTAAAAACAAATAACAATACGTGTGAATGAATTGGTTTACGCGAACGTTATAGCATTTAGAAATGGCGGTATGTATACTGGGATTTATTTTTTTTTTTACTAGTAAATGGCGGTAATCAGCGACTTACAGCAGGACTGCGGCGGGCATTCTGACACAGGGGAGAACTAACTTGATGTCACTGACATCCCCATTGACACCAATACAGTGATCAGTGCTAATAAAAATGCACTGACACTGTACTAATGGCACTGAGCAGGAAGGGGTTAACATGTGGGGCGATCAAAGGGTTAACTGTGTGCTGTATGCTGTTTTACTGTAAGCTATGCAGACCCATACAAAGCAGTGTGTTGGAGTTGACAGGGGAGATAACGGTATTGTTTACATACAGTTCCCTCCCCCCATTGGTAATGCTCGGCGATCTCCAGGTGCCAGCGAGTAATAACCAGCCGGGACCCATTGATTGACAGCCGAGGCTGCGAACACTGGAAATACAAAATCACGTATATATACACATGATCTTGCGCACCCCCCCTGCGCCCTGTAGCAGTATAGCGGGAAAGCTGTTAAGTATTTTTAATAAAGTTAATTGAAAGAATTACATTTGGTAGTGCCTGTATGACCGGCACCCAGTATATTCAGCTCGTGTGCAGGGGGAAGATGGCCGCTATCCACTCTGATGCCAGACGCCGGGCTGTGCTCCACCGCCCGGAAACCACATGACCAGAAGTTGTGTCACTAAGCCTCAAACAGACGTGCATTGAGAAAGAGCAGTGTAACATAGAGCCTGTATTTGTAATGCTGAAACATGCCTGCTCCATGGAGATTTAGGTGTTTGTAAAACACTAATAAGAAGCAGTCCAATGACACCCAACAGTAGATTAATCAGCTAATGCAAGAGGTAAACCACTTAATTGCACCAACAGCTGACTGAGGCACACCAGGCCTCTTTAAAGGGACAACAGCAAGTGAATCCATCTTTTACAACAGCAGATATATTTTTGTTAGAGAGGCATATGGTGGTACAGAGGCTGATTTCTACATCTCAACAGCTGGTACGGAACACATAAATTGTTCTGGAGGATGATGTTGAAGCCTACCTCAGCTTCAACACACAGAAGACAATAGAAATCCTGGAAGGCTGCACTCCGAACACATCTGCTTTATTGATTCGTTAAAATATCAACAGGTGGAATTATATACAGTGGGGGGAGGGAAAGGTTTTCAACCTTGCTCTTGTTCCCCCACTGTAATGATTCCACCTGTTGGTATTTTAATGAATCAATAAAGCAGATCTGTTGGAGTGCAGCCTTCCAGGATTTCTAATGTCTACTGTGCACCATGCAAG